TTATATATTGTAAGCAACCAACCACAATATTATTAGCAGTACCTATGATTTTGGCACCAATAGAAATTACAGATATTTTCATGTCACATTACATTGTTGCAGATATCTCAAAATATTATTTACATTCATCATCACTTCAAAATTATAGTAGTTATTAGACGTGCGCTAGATCCCACATGACTGCAATCTTCCTGTCTGTGGGCCCTCATGCGAGGTAGCTGGCCAACTATGAAGCAACTCTGCCAATTATTTTTCATGCCAAACAGTGAGACCCCATGTGCTCATACTGGTGACCCAGACATCTATAATGCCCCCTTTCCTCCAACCGTTCCCAAGTCAGATCACTCCTTCCTGGTTCTCTTCTGCCTCTACCCAACCCCTCCTTCCAGGAAGCCCTCCCCAGCCAACTTAGCCTAGCCTAGACCACACACAGCCCTCTTTTTTGTGTGTGTGTGAGGAAGATCGGCCCTGAGCTAACATCTGCCAATCCTCCTCTTTTTTGCTGAGGAAGACTGGCCCTGGGCTAACATCCACGCCCACCTTCCTCCACTTTATATGGGACGCCACCACAGCATGGCTTGCCAAGCGGTGCGCCGGTGCGCGCCCGGGATCGGAACCAGCGAACCCCGGGCTGCCGCAGCGGAGCAGGGGCACCTAACCACTTGCGCCACCAGGCCAGCCCAGACACAGAGCCCTCTTAATCCTTAGCCTATACTGTCTACAGTGCCTGGTTTTGTGCTTCATTAAGCCTGTGCATTATACTATATTTAATATTCTCTAAATATATATCCCCACCCCACTCTCACTTAGACTTCTTTGGTAGCCCTGAGTTCCTTCCATAGAACAAAGCAAGCATAAGCACTCATTATGGACTTGTGGATTGAACAGCCAATTACTCAATTCAGGGTCCCTGACTCAAATGTCTTAGTCTAGTTCTACAATAACCCACTGTGGAACTTCTATTTGATGCTTCTCTGGACATCACTTTCCTCATACACTAAAAATAAGTGGGTTGAACTAACTGATGTTTCCACCTCCTAAATTTTGAATTAGGTAACCACTTTTTATCTCCCCAAGATCTGAGAAAAATTATGGGGGAAACTGAAAAGCCTCCCCCAGCTCTCCCAGGCAGGGTTAGTCACTTGCTCCTCTGGGCTTCCCACAGTCTTTTATATGTATATACAATGCATCTACTACAGCATTTATCACTGAGTTTTGAAAAAGTATATACCCTAGTAGCCAAGGTGGAGGTATGGAGGAGAGTCAGACTGCCTGGCTTCAGATTCTGGCTCTGCTCCCCACTATCTGTATAACTTTGGGCAAGTTACTTAACCTTTCTATGATTCCGTTTCCTCACCTATAAAATGGGGCTAATACCTAGCACACAGGATGTAAGAATTAAATGGAATAATATGTTTGGAATAGTGCCTGCCACAGTACTAAAAAATGTTAGTTGCTATTATCATTGATGTTACTGATGTTGTTAATGTCTTACTAGGCACTGCGTTCCTACTTTAGCCGGATCTCTGTCCTCCGATTCGCCATCATGACATTCTGTGTTGTTTTCTTCCATGGCACTTACCACAAGATATTATATTTATTTATGTATTTATTTCCTATCTCACCACTAGACTGTAAACTCCATGAGGGCAGAGAAGGTGTCTGTTTTGTTCATCCTTAAATTCCCAACACCAAACACAGTGCCTGGCCCAGAGCAAACACTCAAATATTTGTTGAATAAACAGCACATGAACTGGCACTGTCTGATGTTTGCTGAATAAATTAACCTAGTTAAGGGTGATTGTCAAAGCTGAGGTGCAGGCGCAGATGATGTCTTAGTTGCCCCAGGATTAGTGTGACCCTCTCCCCAGTCTTTAATATTAGCCTCAGCCAAGCCCCACCCACCTGCCCTTAACCCCAGGCTGGTTCCGGGAGCCACCCTCAGCTAAAATTAGCATAGCCACCAAGATGGCCAGGCCATTTATAGCCTTGGAGGCAGCGACAACTAGCTGGGTGGGCAGGCAGGGCTCTGGCCTCCCACTCCCATCAGGGGTTGATTGAGAAGCCAGCCTGCAGTCCACAAACTACCTAGATGCCTATCCTCCGAGCCCCTGTTCTGGCCATCTTGAGTCAAACCACAGTTCTGGATCAGAGGCCCTCAATACCTCCAACACGGGCAGTCACAGCTCCAGACTCACCTGGGACTCCTCAGACACATTCTGCAGAAAACATTTTGAGTTTCTGGAGCAATGAGCCCAGAGTCTATGGAGGTTCCAAGCATCAATTCCAGGCTAGCTTCAGAAACGCAGGCCCCAGAGTAGCACAGCCAGGCACAGATCTCTACTGAGAAAGTGACAGCACAGATGGGTGTGCAGGCCTCAAAAAGCCAGAGGTGACAGGAATGGCCTCTCTACCACCCAATGAGAGGGCCTCCTAGCAGAGCACCTGCCTTCACCGTAGGGGCAGGCCTTTAAGAGGGGCATATACATCCAACAAGAGAAAAATTCCAACTCTCTGGCCCTTCAGAAGACTCTCCAGAGGAGAAAAAGACAGGCCTTTTCTTGGATCTCAGCTACAGAGTCAGCAGGGCCTGCCTAACTAACTCAGCAGGAGGAAAGTCGCCTTCTCTCGGCCCTGCCTGGCACTCCTTTAACAGGGCAGAGCCGGAGAAGATGGAAGAAGTCTAGAACTTAAGTACCAGAAGACCTGCCTATAAGACTGAGCACAGGACTCAGTTTCTTCACCCACAAAAAGGGGATAATACCATCTGCCCTGCATTCTAATAGGGCCATAGTGAGACTACTGTAGGGAAAAAAAGCTGTGTAATTATAAAACGTAAACTGTGGAAAACATACAAATTGACTGGGTATGTTGAATCTGATTTAGAAAAGTGGCAGTTTCAAGGGCAAGTAAAACTCCTGTGTTCTGAGGATACAGAGGACCTGGAAAGGCTATAGGAGTTCCTGGATGCATAGAAAGCTCCTCCCCAAATCCTTTAGCAGAACCCAGTCCACAAGCCACCTTTTTGCAAAAAATGAGTCCCTGTCTTAGTCAGAGACAAAGTCCCAGACAGGCTAAAGGGGACAACCTACCAGAACAAAAGTGCTGAGACCCCCAGGTTCCCACAAACCATAGCCATTCCCAGTACCTAGGGTCCCTCTCTGAGACTTCCCTCCCTGGGATTCAGTATTATTGTCACAACAGAAACTAATTTCTGAACTGAGAGGAATCAAAGACCAAAAGAGAAGCCTAAGTGGTATAATCAGCACAGCCAGCCCTCTGAAATATGTTGTGTGGAGGCCTGTCTCCATAAGCTCAAGTCATGGGGTGGTTCTCAGGGGTGCTGGAACACTTCTTACCTTAGGCGTGGGCACACACACATCTTCCTGATAGCTAGCTAATGCCTAAAATTCAAAACTTCATCCCTTTAGCTTGTGTCTAAAATATAGAACACCTCCTCCCCCTAAAAAATATTCATTTTATGTCAGTCCCTCATATTTTATGGTGAAAAATGATGTATTATCAGCTATAAACAGGGATATCACTGGGACTAAAGATGCTCCTTAGGTCCCACTTCACAGTTTGGCCTACATCCGCCTACTAGTCTTTCCCTTCATAGCCCAATGAGAACCAAGCCTTGAGCTGTTTCAGGGGCTAAGGAGACACCGTATGGAGAAACAGGATTAATCTACAAGAAGGACCTATCTTCAAAGTAACAGCATGGGTGCTATGCTTGTACATACAGCAACCCTGGCCTCTCTTGGAACCCAGCCCTTGGAGCACCTGGAATCACACCCAGTCTAGTCAAGGAAGTTAAAAGGGAATTTCCCAAGAAAGAGTCTACCACCAAAGCCAGCCTCTGGATCTATCCACGAAACTTCCCAGCCACCATGACCTATGTTTCCTTTTCCTCCTTGTATCAACGGACATCCACTGAGCAGTCCCCTCACTTGAGCTAGCCTACCCTCAGAAAGAACCTAGCTATAAACTCTCCCACTCTGCAGCCCATCGCTTTGGGGAGATCACAGTGACAGGGTGAGAGAAATGGGGGAAGAAAACTGAATTCCTTCTAAGCCTTGTGTAAAACCACTGAATTTTAAAAGTGTTCCTTTCTTCTGCAGCAGAACACCAGGCTGTTCAAGTCTCCATGAGTGCACTGGAAAAACCTGGACAGATCAGAAAATCATAGAATTCCAACCCTCATCAGTCAGAAGAAACAGAACAAGTCAACAAGTGGTTCCTCAAATTATATCAAATCCATGTTGAGAAAAGGCCATTTAACTCCCTGGTGGTAAATAGGATTCCATGCAAGGAACTGCCTTGATATTTCAAATGGGCACAGCTACAACACGGCAGATTACCTAAGGGAAGGGAGGGACTAGGGTTCCCACGCTTGTAGGAACTGAAAGGCACACCTGAACACCAAGCTGTAGGGCAACAGAGTTGGCCCAGCCCCGACTTTCCCTGCCCAACCAAAGTAGCCTCCCTTATGCTGCAAGTGCTGTAACTGGCCAAGAGCAACAGACTTATTACCTGCCCAGGCCATTCTTTCAGACAAGTAGTCCTGAGAAGGGGTTTTGGCTTGCTGATCCGAAAGGCCAAGGGACCGGGAAGGCAGATCTCTTCTCACTGCCAACGAAAGATATCCGGAGAAGGGATGAAGAAAGTTGTTCAGGAGAGACAGAGACATCAGCCACGGCTCCTGAACAGAAAGAACTCACTGGACTAATGCGAACAGGCAGTGCCATGTGTGGGTCCTCCATCAACCGCACATGTAGAAACCTAGGGTTCAACTTTCCCACTCGGGCACTTCAGTTCTGAGTCAAAGCCCCCAGCCCGGTCCAGCCCGTGGCAAGGCCTTACCTTCTGCAGTGGACTCCTCAGAAGCGGCCCCCGAGCCGGCTCCTGTCGCCTTCTCGCTCTGGCTATGGCTGAGGCTCTGGCCATGATGCAGGAGGAGCCCCCAGAGGAGCCACAGGGCAAGACGGGCGCACACATCCATGACTCCAGGTCTCAGTCAACATGCGCCTGATGTGGACACCTCGGGATCCCAGGGGCAAAGTCGGGAGCCCGAGAGTGCAGCCGGCGGTCCCGGAACCCCAGGCAAGATGCCCTCGAGGCGCCGCAGCTGTCCAGCCACCCGCAGGCCTGCCTCCTCCGACAGCCAAAGGTCAAGTGCTCCAAGTTTGGGCGCGGGAGGAGGGACGTCGCCTCCGGTCCAACAGTGGGTCCGCTGGAGCTTCGGCGGCCTGAGCGCCCTGTCTGCTCGGGCCGCTTCCGGAGAGTTTGGACAGGGTGGCTGCGGGGCCGCTGTCAGCTCCGCAGCCGGCTACACCCCTGCGGGCGGGCGGGATCTCCCGCGGGGACGGGAGTGGGGGAGGGAGAGAAGGCAGGGGAAGAGGGGGGCACCTGGCCTCGCCCCGCCGAGGAGCGGCGAGCAGCACAGGCTCGGGGAGGGCGTGCGACTCGCAGGCCCCCGCGGGCGCAGGCGGCTCCGAGATCCCAGGCCTCCTAGGCCGAGGTCAGCGCCTCCGCCCAGTCCCGCGCCCAGGCGGCCGGCAGTGCCCAGGTTCAGCAGGCGGACGCGCACGGGCCAGGCCCGGGACAGCGGCTCCCCG